AAAAATGTCGTTGCAAAGGATATGTTTTGCTGTTCACAAGCTCTGTCTTTGTTGCAAATTAGGTACAAAAATACTCATGCTGGGTGATAAGGGAACAACCCAGGAATTCTTTATTTGTATGCCACATTCAGGTCCGGCTTAAAACATTCTTTACAAACCACAGGGATTGTGTTCCTACAACTTAATAACCCCCCCCCCCCCAAAAAAAAAAACCCAATACACTATGGCTTAACAGGATGTGTGAACTCAGTAGGAAGTTGGATGTTTAGAGAACTGGCAATTCTATTATATTCAACTCCACAGAGGAGATACACAGGTACTCCTCGATTTAATAACAGTTCATTTAATGACTGTTCCAAAGTTACAACGGCCCTGAAAAAAGTGCCTTAGGACTGTTTTTGACACGGCTGTTGCAGCATCCCCAGGGTCACATGATCAAAATTCAGACGCTGGGCAACTGACTCGTATTTATGATGTTTGCAGTATCCCGGGGTTACATGATCCTTTTCTGCGATCTTCTGACAAACGAAGTCAATGGAGAAGTCAGATTCTCTTAACAACAACGTTACTAGCTTAACAACCACAGTGATTGCTTAACAGTGGCAAGAAAGGTAAAATGGGGCAAAACCTACTTAACAACTGTCTTAGGGATGGAAATGTTGGCGTCAATTGTGATCAAGGACTACCTGTATAAAAATAGCTTTTCATCAGCACTTTGTGTCAGGCAAAAACTACTTTAAAAGATTGGCAAGTGTACTTTATTGAACATCCAGCAGAGTAGCAAAACATGGAATTTCTACAAAACGCTGACCAATACATTAATGCCACCTACTCTTAAAAGATCGTAAGAATCAGCTAAGAATAGTGAGGATGGGGTCTCAGAGGCTTGGCGTTTTCAATCCGTGAGAAAATTAATCCTTTCCGACGGGCTTGTCTCCCAACAAGATTTTATTTATTGAATAAAGGCGCATGGCCACCCAAATGTGGGAGCATGTAGAAGATTGAATTCTTATTTTTAAAAGAGTCAACATTCAAAGCTTTTTCCACGGACTCTTGCGTGATCTATGGGTCTCAACGGTGGGTTTATCAAACAGCTACATTGGACTGGTGCTTGCGATCTAACAGATGGGTCAGGTAGGACATCATTTAGCAGCTTTGCGCTTGCTGAGGGTGTTGGTCTTCCCACAACCCAAATCAGTACGTATATATTCTTGTGAGATCGTTACATTTTCCTTCGGGAGCTTCGTACTTAGCCTGAGGGGGTGTGTGCAGGGGTTCCTGCCTGTCAAAAGGGAACAAGAGATTATCCCGTAGAATGGCTGCCTGATACAGCTCTTCCGACTCCACCCGTAGTTCCCTTAAAGCTTGTTCCTGGGCAGCGGCCAGAGTTTTTATGGTGTCCATCTCGGCCTTGTTCTCGCGATGCTTATAGGCAGCCCACCGTTTCAAAATTTTAGCTCGTCTTTCGCTTTCTTCAAGGGGCAGCGGTGTGAGCTCTCGGACCCTGTGAGGAAAAACACGGTCAGGCCACAAATCACAAATGACACGTGGAGATTCTTCTAAACTGAGTTCTTTTGTTTCACATACGTTGCCCTTAACAATTCATTTAGGGACCGAAGTTACGACGGCACCAAAAAGTTTTCATACTTAATGACCTTTGCAGCATTCCCAGGATCACATGATCAAAATTTAGATGCTTGGCAACTGACTCGTATTTATGACGGTACACCATCTTTCTTTAGAAGAGGGTTCCTCAGCCACTTTTGAGACGTGTGGACATCAACTCCCCAAATTCCTCAGCCGGCACGAACGAACGTGCTAAATACATGCCCAGTGTCCCATTACCTTTTTTCATCCATGAATCTGAAGGGGATTATGAAGTCTTCAATGGGAACCAGCTCTTGAGCTGCTTTTTCCAATTTTCTGATTTTCTTTTTCAGCCGTTCTCTTAGAGCCTGGTCCTTCTTCGGATCTGTCTTTTTCTTCTTCCTTGGGGGCTCTGCTCTAATGGAGGGGGAATAAATAAAATATAAAAATAAAATACGATTTTTTACAGAATGCTGTTTCACCTTCTCAGAATGACTTTAGTCTCAAAAAGGAACAACTGGTTGTAGTGTTGTGCAGTCCTGCGACTGATGACATTTGTTTTGCTAGTTTCTAGCCTTTTTGGCCAGTTTACATTAAAAAAAAAGTACCCATAGGAATGGATTCATTTAACAACCACCAAATCTGCATTATAATCACAGTGTTTGCTTAACAACCAGTACAAAATAATTGTAAAATTGAGTCGGTCACTTAAGTCGGTCACTTAAGATTTCCAGGCTCCATTATGGCCATTTATGTGTGGATGTTGGGTTCTATGTGTGCTTACTCAAATGTAAATCCTGTTGGATTCAGCAACACTTTTTCCTACATAAGCAAGAATTAAATGGCAGCCATATGGACTGGTTACTTGAGTGCATTGGATAAATTTGAAATGTGAACTTGGAAAAGCATTTTAATAGTTCTTCCTATATTATCAGGTGGAAAGAATCAAATACCAATATGGGCTTTACCTCATGGGCAGAGCTGTTCTCAGTTCCAGGAGGGAAGACTGCCAGTGGTTCGCTCGGAGTTGACCATTCCAGATTAACTGGGAACTAAAAAATGTATATAATGTCAATCCAGGATTGTTATGGGGAAAATTGGAGGAAGGTGCGTTGGATATGTCTGCCACCATTAATTATTTATCAATATTAATAAAGGCGGGATGCGAACGAATAAAAATAATGGATGGACGCTTATCAAGGAGACATCCAACCTAGAACTAAGGAGGAATTTTCTAACAGTGAGAACAATTAATCAATAGAATGAGTTGCCTCCAGAAGTTGTGGGTGCTCCATCACTGGAGGTTTTCCAAGAAGAGACTGGACAGACATTTATCCGGAACGGCATAGGGTCTCCTGCTTGAGCAGGGGGATGGGCTAGAATAGATGACCTCCAGGGTCCCTTCCAACCTTCTTCTATGTTCTTTAAATTATGATAAACTGTGGATGCTCCATCGCTGGAGGCTTTTAAGAAGAGACTGGACAGCCATTTATCCGGAATGGCATAGGGTCTCCTGCTTGAGCAGGGGGGTGGACTAGATGACCTCCAGGGTCCCTTCCAACCTTATTCTATGTTCTATAAATTATGATAAACTGTGGATGCTCCATCGCTGGAGGCTTTTAAGAAGAGACTGGACAGCCATTTATCCGGAATGGCATAGGGTCTCCTGCTTGAGCAGGGGGATGGACTAGATGACCTCCAAGGTCCCTCCCAATTCTGTTATATGATAGCTTTTCATGGCGAGGTTGGGGGTCCTCAAGGGCTCCCCCTAAGCAGCCCATGGGGGGGGGAGAAAAAGACCCCCACCCACCCAGAACTCGCTTCTGGCCGCTTACCGAAACAAAACGCCTCCCGTCCCGCTCCCGAGGAGGTTCAACGCAGCCCGAGCCCACATGGTTCCCTTCCCGACGGAGGACCGTTCCCAGCGATGCACCGCAGTCCGACGTGAATGCTGCTCTCCGGCTTCCGAAGGCTCGTCGGGAAGTTCCGGAAAAGGTGCGCGCGCAGCCTTCGCATCTACCTCCTTCTCTCCCTCCCTCCCTCCATGCTGCATTTTCCAACCTGGCGCTCTCCGAATAACCATAATAATAATAATAAAGTTGGAAGGGATCTTGGAGGTCATCTAGTCCAACCCCCCCGCTCAGGCAGGAAACCCTTTACCATTTCGGACCCTCTCTTGTTTAGAATGCCGGACGTTGGAGAAGTTTGCTTCTGGAGGAAAGGGAGAACGGTCAATTTGAGGTAATGGCGGAGGAAGGGGCTTGGCTGCGAGTTCTAGTCCTCCCGCTGCCGTGGAAGGTCACCGTCCAACCAAAAAAAAAACCTGGAAAAATTGGGAATAAAACAAGGTTTTTTCCCCTGGTTTTTTTTCCCCAAAGGGCTTTGGGGAAAAAGGAAAGAAAAAAAAACTTGTTTTATTCCCAATTTTTCCATTTCCCCCCACCCAGACTTTCCCATCTCTAGTGGTGGTGGTTCTTTGTATGGGTTTCTTTCCTCCGCCGAGAGTGAGATTTAGGATTTGGAGACATTGCAATTTTAAGCACCAATAACACCATCTTTGTAGCTAAAGGTTGAACTGGTGGGTCCTCTTTGAGGTTGGTGGTTTTCTTGCAGACCTCTTGCGACCCAACTAGGTAACCTCATCAGTACTAGAAGGGAGTGGGACTGTGGGGTTTTCTAGCACTGATAATACGTAGTTGGGTCATGAAATGTTTGCAAAAAAACCACTCAGAGAGCAACAAGGACCCCACAAATTTAAGTATAACAACTGTCTCATCCTCCCAGTACAATCCCATCCATTGCTGCTAAGGATTCTGGCTGTGTTTTGATTTTCCAAAATTGAAACCGCATATCCACTGCCTGGCTGCTAGAAAAATAATAATAATAATAACAACAACAACAACAACAACATAACACCCCGGACATAACAATTGTCAATAAGAAAGACAAAAAAGTCTGGATAGTGGACGTGGCAGTGCCTGGAGACAGCAGAATAGACGAGAAAGAACTGGAGAAGATAACAAAATACAAAGACCTACAAATGGAAATAGAAAGACTGTGGCAAAAGCAAGTAAGGGTAGTACCAATAGTAATAGGCGCCTTGGGTGCAATCCCAAAACAACTGGAACACCACTTGAACACCATCATTGGCATTGACAAATTCGCCATTAGTCAATTGCAAAAGGCGGCCTTACTAGGAACTGCTTCCATCCTGCGACATCTGTAATACCATCAAACATCCACATCTGCCTATCCCAGGTCCTTGGGAAGGACTCGATAGGTAGACAAAAATGCCAAATCCAGTCTGAACATCTGGCTGACTGTGCGATGAGCAATAATAATAATAATAATAATAATAATAATAATAATAATAATAATAGAGTTGGAAGGGACCTTGGAGGTCTCCTAGTGAGTCCAACCCACTGCTCAGGCAGGAAACCCTATACCATATTTTTATTCTATATAATGCAGATTTTATTCTATATAATGAGCACAGTTGAGCTCAAAATTTCATCATAAATGTGAGTCCGTTGCCAAGCGTCTGAATTTTGATCACGTGACCCTGGGGATGCTGCAAAGTGTGAAAAACGGTCCTAAGTCCCTTTTTTCATTGACCGTTGTAACTTCAAACGGTCACTAAATGAACTGTTGTAAGCCTGTATAGTAAAATAAATAAACACATTTTAATGCATTTTAAAATATATTTTAATACAGTATATAAACATAATACAATAAAATATACAGGTGAATAATACCCATATACCTGGAATATATAAAAAAAAAATCAATCCGAGCCGGGGAGTTGCAGGGACACTCATGACGTCACCCCACCGCCGCCTGGCCCGTCTCCTCCCGCCGAACTACACCTCCCGGCATGCCTCAGCGCCAGCCGGCACAGCGGAGGCTCGCGGGAGCTGTAGTTCCCCGCCGCCTGACAGGGCCGCCCCTCTCTCCTCTCTCAGCCCTGCCTTAGCCATGCCGACCGCCCGGGCCTCCGAGCCGCCCCCGAGCCTCCCCCCAACCCGGCCGCCGACCCCGCCGGGGACCCTCCGCGGCCGTGACGCCTCTCGCCCCCGCGCGCTTCCCCCCCCTCCCCCGAGAAGCCCCCCGCCGCGCCACCCGGCCGGCCTCTCTGGGCGTCGTCCCTTGTTTCCCGCCGGGCCGCTTGGGTCGTTGCCCTCCGCTGACTTCCGGCGTTGCCGGGGAGCCGCCGGGAGCGGGGGATGCGGCCGGGTGGCGGCGGCTGCTGCTGCTGCTGCGGGCGGGACGGGCGCGGGCGATGGCGCGGCGGCCCTGAGGCCCTCGAGGCGGCGGCGGAGAAGGGAGGCGGCGGCGGCGGAGGAGGAAGAGGAAGGCGGCGCTGAGACGGCCGGCGGGGCAGGGGCGAGGGCCGGGGTGCCGCCGCCGCCGCCTCCGCCCAGGGTAGCCTGAGCCGGGGCCGTCCCGCCTGCCCCGGCCGGCGGCCGTCCCCTGCACGGAGCGAGAGGGAAGCGGAGGAGGAGGAGGAGGAGGCGGCGGCGGGGAAAATGAAGCTCCTGAAGCCGACCTGGGTCAACCACAACGGTGAGCGCGTGCAGAGGGCGCCTCTGAGCGCGTGCAGACGGCTCGGGGAGACGTCAGCCGCCGCCGCCGCCCCCCGTGCTCGTGGCCGGGAAGAATGGAGGGGGGGGNCATGCAAAAGGTTGGGGAAGTGTTCTCGGCCCTATACACAAAGTGGGGGGGGGAGGAAGGAGGGGGGTCCTCTGAGCGAGTGCAGAGGGTTATGGGGGGGTTCCTCTGCGCTGGTGCCCCCTCACCCACTGGGGGGGAAGGAGGGGGGTCCTCTGAGCAAAGGGGGAGGGCTAGGGAGGGGGGTGTCCTTGGCCCCTCATGCCCCCCCCGAGGGGCCCTCTGAGTGTGTGCAGAGTGTTGGGGGAGAATCCTCGGATTTATCCCCACGGGGAGGGGAGAAGGAAGGGGGGGTCCTCTGAGCAAAGGGGGAGGGATGGGGGTGTCCTTGACCCCTATACACAAAGGGGGGGAGGAAGGAGGTGGGTCCTCTGAGTAAAGTGCAGAGGGGCGTGGGGGTATGCATTGCACTGCTGCCCCCACACTTACTGGAGAGGGGGGGTTAGGAAGGGGTTAGCTGAGCACGTGCAGAGGGCTGGAGTGGGGAGGACTTTTGTTTGTGTTGCCTCCAGACATACACACCCCAAAACACCATGGGGAGGGAGAAGAGGAGGAAGGGGAAGATGATATGGGTTCTACAAGCATGTGCAGAGGGCCCCAAAGAGTGGGCAGCGGGGTTGCCTCCCACCCCCAGAAATAGGGAGGAGGAGCAGGAGGAGTCACATGGGCCCTTGAGCAAGTGCAGAGCGCCCCTAGATGAGAAATCCCTGGACGGGCTCCTCCTTCCAGGAAATCAGCTGAGTGGGGCCTTCTGTTCAAGCTCAGAGACTACCAGCCTCCCTTCCCCTCTCCTTGCCTGTGTCCTTGAAGACCGAGGGAAAGCTCAGCACCACCACCCCCCTTCCTTTGAGAAACACTTTTTCACTCATTGTTGAGTTCCCACAGCATATAAATACACACCCCATCCACCCCCCAGTTTACAAGCAACTTACAACCTGGCTCAGGAATTCTGGGAGTTGAAGTCCATGAGTCATAAAAGAGCCAAGGTTGCCTACCCCTGACCTAGGTAAAGGATTCAAGATGAAAAATACCTCTCTGCTTTCTTAGACAATTGCTCTCTTTTGTTACGGTGGCTGGCAGCATCTTGCTTGCAGGCTTTTGTGACCTTGAAACCTGAGGTCCTCTAGGTGTGTGCAGAGTTCTCCATTCCTAAGGAAAACCAGAATGTGTGGCATAGGTCGGTGTGTTTTATTTACCGGCTGAAGTATTGTAGCTCCTTAAAGTTTGGACTGGCCTTTGCCCTGGGTTTTGATATCGGGACCTTGAAATGCAGGAAGATACCAAAAACTCTTACTTAGAATTTGGTGTTTTTTTTAAAAAAATGCCTCGCTTGTAGGATTTTTCATACAAAAAACTGTTTTCTTTGACATGTTCGATAACCAGTAGCTTTTGCAGTAATTAAAATTTTATTTATATATATATATGTCCAGTTGACTTTTTGGAAAAAGCAGCTTTGGGACAATCATGACGTGGATGATTAAGAATGTCTATTGCTATTTCTTTATTTATTGACATTTAAATTGGACTTCCTAGTTTGCCTCTTTGTTTGTTCAGCATAGAAGGAAAGTTGTTAGTGACATCTTAGCGTTTAAAGAGACACTTTCTGGTTCTCTGATCTCTCCAACTATGCACTTTGCAGTTTCTTGAAAACAGTACTGCTTGCTTACTGCAGACCTGTAATCATAATCATAACGTTGGAAGGGACCTTGGAGATCATCTAGTCCAACCCCTTGCTCAGGCAAGAAACCCTATCCCATTTCAGACAAATGGCAGTCCAGTCTCTTCTTAAAGACTTCCATTGTTGGAGCATTCACCGCTTCTGGAGGCAGGTTGTTCCACTGGTTAATTGTTCTAACTGTCAGAAAATTTCTCCTTAGTTCTAGGTTGCTTCTCTCTTTGGTTGGTTGCAGGGACAGTGTGCGTCTTCAAGGTACTTTTGTTGAAGTGCACAGTTCCCTATTTTAGCATTGTACTATTTCTATCCAGGGGAGGCTAAATGGTCTTTTTTTTTCCTGAAAATTTTAAAGAGTTCCTTGGAAGTCATCTAGTGCCTAAGTGGCCATTTCATGACCTCTACAGGAAATGTATTTCCCATCCAGATCAGGACTGCTTGGACCCATCTACTATGGGACATTCCCTGGGGAAAAAAAGTATTAAAATATACTTTGGACTGCTGAACAGATCATAGATCTCCCATTAGGCAGACAAATGTTAGCACCTCTAACTTGGAGACATTTTACATTGGGTCTGGTTGGGTTTTATGGAAAGCAGGGTGCATTTTGCAATTCCTAGCAAAGACCGTCTTCCGTTGTCGCTCATTGAACTTTATTCACCCTCCTGGACAGTTAAGCCTTTGCCTTAGTGATTTCTTGCTGGGAGATTTTGTAAAGATACCAACAAGGGGTCCGATAACAGAAGATAACATATTAACCCTCTTAAGAATATAGATTGAGAAGAACCCCAAAGTGTTTTGCTGATCCTTTAATCCTTATTATCAGGAAGGATCTGGAAGCAGAGTTGTTGTTGTTTTCCCTTCCAGAGGTGAAGAAAGGGGCTCCAGATACCCATACCATGCACAGAGTGTCCTGCTTGGTTTCCCAGGAAGGGGGTGTTTTGACGTTCCTTTCCATCCAAAGGGTTGGTGGATGGGCTACTCCTCAAAGTAGCCTCATTGCAGAGAAATTTCACCAGGGGCCGTTCTGCTTTCTTTTTAGAAAATCAGCTAAAATACCGTCGATCAATAAGACCTCCAGAGTGCAAACTTTGCCATCAAATAGGTCAGAGGGTAGAATATGTGCAGGTTTTAAAGCATATTATTAGTTGTTTGCACTTTTCTTTTGATGAAGCATTTTGTGTTCTGCTATATCAGTGGTTCTCAACCTTTTTTATGCCGCGACCCCAACCGGTTGTAAGTCAAGGACTAAACCGGTCGTAAGTCGAGGACTAAACCGGTTGTAAGTCGAGGACTAAACCGGTCGTAAGTCGAGGACTACCCAGCCGGTCGTAAGTCGAGGACTTTCCCTGCCCAGGCGCGCCACGCATGCGTGGTTCCGCCCCCTGCGCCGGCCGAGGCGTAGCTGGCAAGCGGCAGAGACAGAGCAGGCCGACCACCAGCTGGCCCAGCCCAAGGGAGGTAAGGCACCCGCCGGAAAAGGGGAAAAAATGGTGGACAAAAAAAATGGCGGACAAAAAAAATGGTGGACAGCCTTGCTTGGCGACCCCCGTGAAATGGTCGATCGACCCCAAATGGGGTCCCGACCCACAGGTTGAGAACCACTGTGCTATATGTTAGCGGCAATCTGCTGAGGCAGTGACGGGCTGCTAGAAATTTTTTCCCATTTCGTGCTCAGAGGTTATAGAAATAGAACTTGGCTGAGTTGGAGAAACATCCTTGGTCCCTGATCCCTGGGATCCTTTGGAAAACCAGAATGGATTACTCGGCTTCTTCCTCTTTAAATTTAACCTTGAAGTTTTATTTTGGATACTTGCTGGCTGGCTATCAGTTTGTTCGTGATAAACTATCTCTCTCTGCAGCCTGGGGTGCATTACAAACCCAAGGATACTCTCTGCTCAAAGATTTTTTTTCTCTTGTTTTTGTTTTCTTCCAGCCAAGCCGATATTTTCAGTTGACATTCATCCAGATGGGACCAAGTTTGCAACTGGAGGGCAAGGTACGGTGGCCGCGAACGTTTCTTGTAAACTCCTGCGCCCAGTCCGTAAAAGGAACTTAAATGGTAACCTGTACAGGTACACTTTGCTTAGGCACCACTTGTTCAGCGACTGTTTAAACTTGGCAATGGCGGGAGGGAAGACTTAAAACTGGTCCTCAAACATGGAGCTCTTGCAGCATCCCCACGGTCATTTGATCATGATTTGGGCCACTGCATTTACCATAGTTGCAGCATCCCGCAGTCACGTGATCGCCCTCTGCGACTTTCCCTGCTGGCTCCCAGCAGGCAAAGCCAACGGGGAAGGCGTGCGGTCCTCACTTAACAACCTGCGACTTGCTCAGCGACCACCACGAAAAACACTGTGAGTCGTGGCGGAGGTCCTCGCTGAAGGACTGCCTCGCTTAAGAGTGGCCTTTCCTGCTCTAAGGGCTGTTGTGGAAAAACCCAGTGAAAAAGACAGATAGCAACACAAAACAATCCTTCTTACTTTAAGACTCAGAGGTTTCATTTCAGCAGTAATTTGGAACACACACGTAAACATCCCTTACGTTAAAAACCCATTGCAATAAGGTCCAGTGACATAGCAGGTCCAACAAGGACAGCTATAGGCCAGTGGCAAATCAATCAGGTCCAGTCCCCAACTTTTTATACCCTTTCTCGTCCTAAGACCGTAGACTTAGGTCAGCAATCTTACACTTTCTGCTGAACATAACTTTCTCGTCTACATTGGAACCCGCCTCCATCAGCTACTTTCAGTTCCCTACTCCTTACAGTTCCAGTCCTTACGTTCTAAATATATTTAAAACAAGCAAGCTTTGCAAAAATCATATTAAGTCAAATACAGTTGCAGTTTAGATTACAAACAGTAGTTCCTTCGGATTGTAAAACTGAGCATAGCGCAATACTTTTGGTTCAATACTTTTCCATGAGGCCTGACTCAGTTCACCTGGCCCTAAACCTCACATAGAAGAACCATAGCCAATATTTTCGTTTTCCACAGCTCAACCCGTAAATAAGCAGCCCTTTATCTTAACAAATCTCTTTTGAATCAAGCAATGCTGAACGTATGTTTTAACCTAATGATAATTTTAAAATATTACCCTGGTCCTTTCGCTTGGGATACAGAAGAAATATTCTTAGACCTAAAATGACAGACAATAAAGAACAGTACAGGCATCACCCCTAGAGTTATATCTGACTTGGACATGCTCCCTCCCTGTTCGAATGCTGGCTTTTTTTTTGCTAGTTATAATAGCCCTGGGCTATTCCTGAGTCCCTCTGCATTTGGTTTTGATTTATTTAAGGGGTGGACTTTGCCTGCAGCCAGTCCCACAGCATGCTGCTAGCGTGGCGAACAGCAGGGACCGAGATTCTTGGGATAAAATATCAGAAGCAAATACGCTTGCCAACCCTGAGGTTATAATTAATGTGGCATTAGTTGGACTAATTCAAAATGTGCAATTTAATAGGCTTCAACGTTCAGTCACTTTCCCCTCTTTTATTTACAGTGGCAGGCGTACATTATTCCCTAATCAAAGTGATGCTAGCTGCAGAATATTTTTTTTTAAAAAAAAAAACCCTGTGAATTAAGCGCCGTAGGTGTTTCCTGAGATCTTAAATTATTATTAAAAAATATTTGTGGCTCCCTACTACTCGTTACAGACGTTAGATTTCCTGTAGAGTCCAGGTTGTAGCTGCGTGTCTCATAGTTTTGCATCTTTCAGCTAAACTTAAAAAATGTGCAGCCATGAACTGGATTTTAAAGGCCGTGTTTCTTTGTAGGGTGTTTTTTGTTAAAATCCTATCGCTGCGGTGCTCAGTGGAATTGGGTTCTCTGATTTTAAGTTGTGTGGACTTCAACTCCCAGAATTCCCTAGCCTAGCCAGACGCTCTGGGAGTTGAAGTCCACACAGCTTAAAGTTGAGAAATCCTGATGTATAAGCAGACACTTCTAGTGCTCTTGTTATTTGCTAAATTAAGGAGGAAAGTTACTCTCTGCTTCAAAGGAAGCTCCAAGGACCCTTAGCAAAGATACACAGCCTTGTTCGTCTCTTGTAGTAACTGCAATTTGTTTTTCTTTGTGTCTTCAGGACAGGATTCCGGAAAAGTGGTAATATGGAATATGGGTCCCGTCCTCAAGGAGGAAGACGAAAAGAACGAGAATGTACCCAAAATGCTTTGTCAGATGGACAATCATTTAGGTATGGTAGCATAGGTTTTTATTTTTTGGTGGTGGGGCTAATGAGCCAGCATAATGTGAGAGCCAGTTTGGTCTAGTGGTTAAGTCACCAGACTAGAAAGCAAGAGACCATGAGTTCTAGTCCCGCCTTAGGCATGAAAGCCGACTGGGTGACTTTGGGCCAATCACCAGGAGACTGTGAGTTCTAGTCCTACCTTAGCCATGAAAGCCAGCTGGGTGACTTTGGGCCAATCACCGGGAGACTGAGAGTTCTAGTCCCCCCTTAGGCATGAAAGCCAGCTGGGTGACTTTGGGCCAATCTCTCCCTCTCAGCCCAATCCACCTCACAGGGTTGTTGTGGGGAAAATAGGAGGAGAAAATTGTGTTGGAGATGTTCACCCCCTTGAGGTACTTGTAAAAATAATAAAGGCAGGATACAAATACAGGTGGTCCTTGAATTACAACCGTTCATTTAGTGACCGTTCAAAGTTACAACAGTACTGGAAAATGTGACTTACGGCCATTTTTCACAGTTAACGATCTTTGCGGCACCCCCTCCCATTATCATGTGATCAAAATTCAGATACTTGGCAACTGGTTCGTACTTACGACGGTCGCAACGTCCCCGGGGGTCACGTGATCCCTTTTGCAACCTTCTGACAAGCAAAATCCACAAGGGGAAGGCGTAGACTCACTTAGCAACTAGGTTACTAACTTATCAACTGCAGTGATTCGCTTCACAGTTGAGGCAAGAAAAGTGGTAAAATGGGGCAAAATTCCCCGAACAAATATCTCAACAACAGAAAAAAATTTGCTTAGTTGTGGTCATAAGTCGAGAGGCTACCTGTAATGTCTAATATACAATGCCAAAAAGGTCATCTTGCATGTTGGAGGATTAAAAACACCACCTGTGCTTTGAAAATATCACTGGGTGGTAACTCTTCCACTAATACAAGCTCCCACCTTAGTATAAGAAGGTGTTCTGAGTCTTTTTTTTTTTTTTTT